GGGAATGTGCAGACTAGATGAACCAGTCCAGTTCTATGTCACCGCGTATTACAAAACAAACTGAGGACTTTGTAGTCACTGGTACAGACCCAAACAGTGTTGAAATAGAAGCAACCAAGGAACAGCACATTCACAACAGCAGCATATCTGTAGTGCAATTCACTGCAACAGTTGTTGGTGAATATTCAATTCAGGTCAAACATGACTCAAGTGACATTGATGGAAGTCCTTTTATAATTTGTGTCACCAACCCAGCAGGAGCAAGGGTAACAGGCTCAATACCTGACAATCCAAAAGTTGGCGAGAAACTCTCGTTGAGTATTGACGCAAGTAAATGTGGTCCTGGGGACATATCCTGTGACTTGATACCATTTTATGGAGAAATAGACATTGAGCCACAGATACTCTCTTCACCAGATGAGGATGAGCTATATGAGATATCATTTTCTTCTCTAGTTGTCCTCAATTGTTTCTTAGAGCTTAGGTTGGCAGGCTACCTCTTACAGCCCAGCCCTCAGTATCTCTCCTTTGTTGATCCAAGCAAAGTCCTAGTGAACAGCAAGGAACTTGAGAGCGGAGATATGATAAATCAAGGAGACCCACTGAGTATTGAGATTGATGGAAGAGAAGGAGGTCGGGGTACCCCAGAAGCTAAAGTATCAATGGGAGGAGCTCCAGTTGATGTGGACTTGGTAGATAATAGAGATGGTACTTTTCTTGCTAGAGTAATGGCCCTAGAAGCAGCTGATTATAATGTTGCTATCAAGTGGAGTGGGTACTCTGTTGCAAAGGCAACAACTAATTTCGGAGTACAGAGATTGATCGATTCTCACAGTATCACAGCTAAAGGTATCGGCCTAAGAGATGCAGTAGCTGATCAGGAGATAACAATAGTTGTCAGTGCCTACGAAGTTGGACTTGTTGATAATAATCTCCTTGCAGTTAGATGCTTTGATCCAGAGAGGAATGATGATGATGCTAGCAATCCAAGCACAGAATGGACTGATAATAATGATGGAACTTATGATTTAACGATAGTCTACCCGTACGATGGGAAGTTCTTCCTCTGCATTGATTACAATAATCAGCCAATCTACCAGAGCCCTTTCACCGTCTCTGTTAAAGGAAAACCAAACGCAAACATGTGTAGGGTCTTTGGTCCAAGCGTCGACAAACTAAGAGAGGGCGTGGCTATACCAGTGACGCAGCACATTGAGATTCATGTTGACTCCAGTAAGGCAGGGAGTGGTGAACTGACCTATACTGCAACTGATCCTACAGGAGAACAAGTAACTGTGTTTTCCACTGAAGAGGAAAGAAATGGCAGACAATTTCAATACCTGAGACTTGGTCCTTTTGATGTGGGTGAGTACACTGTTAGGCTCTACTGGAGTGGAGTGGAGTTGGAAGACTCTCCATTAAAGTTCAATATTGTTGATCCAGCACTTTGCTTAGTTAGTGGTCTACCTCTTTCCAATGGAATGGCACAATTAGGAGAGTCTGTTCACTTTAGCTTATCACCCAATAACTGTGGGGTTGAAAGGCCATTGGTCGTCATTGCTGTGTGTAGCACTGAAGAGAATGAAACGATAATCGACAGTGAAGAATTGAGCGAGGAGAGTGTTGAAGGAGGTGTCTATAAGTACGAGTTTGATACAAGTGAGCCTAACAGCTACACCATTACTGTGACAGTGGGTGGATTGCATGTTCCTGGAAGTCCTTTTAAATGCGATATCATTGACCCAACGCAGTACACTATATGTGGGCTCAGTACTGCTGGTAAATACGCTTATGCCGGTGACACAGTTTCCTTCAACATACAAGGAGTTCCTCCTGAAGGAGAGTCCTTTTCTGTCGTAGCCCATGGACCTCATAATGACCAGATATGTGTCGTTCATGGAGAAGACGGTTTTTATAATTGCACATTCCCAGTCATTGATGCAGGCTCTCATGAAGTGTATGTTGAATGTGCTAATAAACATGTCCCAGGTAGCCCGTTTCAAATAAACGTTGCTGATCCTTCAAAATGTGTCATATTGGATACTCCTGATGAGTTTCAAGTAGGAACAAAGGAAAGCATTGTAGTTAAGACGACTGAAGCAGGACAAGGAGAACTGACAGTGTTAGTTAATAATGAGAAGGAGGCATCAGCCATGAGTGTCGAGATAGAGAATACAAGTGTTTCCACTTATGTCATCAGTTTCACACCTCATCGTATCGGTGAAGTCAAGATTGATATATTATGGGCTGGTCGGCTCATACCACAGTTCCCTCTTCACCTTCAGATTTATGATGCCAAGCAGTGTAAAGTGTTTGGGCAGTCACTTGTTACAAAGAAAGGAAAAGTTGGAGAGCCTATAACCTTCACAGTCATGACAAGGAATGCAGGAGTGAGCAAACTAACCATCAAAGCCTCAGGCCCATCAGCTCAATACAGTATAACTCCTAACATTATTGGAGAGAATAAGCACGAGGCTCAGTTCACACCATGGCAAAATGGCCAGCACACGATTGAGATATTTTGGGGTAAAGTCCAAGTCCCCAAGAGCCCATTCTCCCTTCACATTGATAAAGGAAGTGGAGATGGTACCTGTCATGCAACTGGGGATGGTCTGAAGAAAGCAATTGCAATGAAAGAGAGCAAGTTTATGCTTTTCTCTAATGAAAGTGGCCTTGTAGAGAAAGGAGCATTGAAGGTAACTGTACAGAGTGCTCTTCATGGAGAGAATGTCAATCTCAACATTAAAGATGAGAAGAATGGAAGCTATGAAGTTGTCTATATTGCACCAAACCGTGGAGCATACTTTGCTGCCGTTTCTTATTACGACCAACCAATCCCCGGGAGCCCTTTTAAAATTAACTGTGTTCCAGGCCCGGATCCTTCAAAATGTCGCCTGGAAGGTTTCCATAACAACACGCTTTATATAGCAGGAAAACCAATAGAGTTTACAGTTGATTCCAGTGAGGCTGGTAGCGGAGTACTCAAAGTATTTGTACAGGGACCCCGTGATCACGTCCCAAAGGTGTATCTAGCAGATGATGGCAAAGGACATCACTCGGTCAAATTTGATGCTCTCATTCCAGGGAGGTACCTCATTGTTGTGGCCTGGTCGGAGAGCCACATCCCAGGGAGCCCTTTTAAAATTAGAGTCCACCCCGGACCCGATGCTTCCAAAGTTATAGTTACAGGACCCGGTATTAAAGATTCGATTCTTGGCGAGGACAACGAGATCTATATTGACACTAGAGAAGCTGGTATTGGTACTCTACTCATTAAAGTACATGGTGTTAAAGACGCCTTTAAGATTGATGCCAATCCTGTCAATGAAGATGATAAAAGATTACTCCTTGCTACCTACTCTCCCACAGTCCCTGGTAGTTTTGATATTTTCATAAGATGGAGTGGCGTCCATGTTCCTGGATCTCCGTTTAAAGTGAACATTACAAAACCAGGGGGAGCAGAGGAACCCGAAAAGAAAGTGAAGACTGAGAGACAAGCTACAGCTGCTGGCGGAGCTCAAAAGAAAAAGCCGTCAAGAAGACTTACTGAGCAAAGGTTGCAACAGGACATTCAAGTTGAGGAGCAGAAAACTCGGGCAGGACGACGCAAGAAAATCAGCACAGTGAGCGTAGAAGTTGAGAAGAAGCAAAAGAGAGTGATGAGGTCACAGTCTAGCAGTGCAATACCAGTCAGTGGACCAATTAAACCACAGATGAAGATGAAGAGAAATCCTTCAATGATGGCTGGTGAGTCATGATTAATATTTGATAGCATGAAGGCATATTTTTTTACAATATTCTTTATTGTATTGTTATTATTGTTATTATTATTGTTATTATTATTATTATTATTATTATTATTGTTATTATTATTATTATTATTATTGTTATTATTATTATTATTATTATTATTATTATTATTATTATTATTATTATTATTATTATTATTGTTATTATTGTTAATATTATTGTTATTATTAGTTATTGGTATGCCAGGACGTCCTCCATTATTCCATCAACCAGGTACATTATACATCACACACAGTCCTCCATACTAACATAGCTACCATATATGGATATTTAATGCTGTTCTTCTCCACAGGTGGAATGATGATGTCCTCTGGAATGATACCAACTCTTCCTCCCGCACAACAAGAGAGGGTAGTGAAAAAGCAATCCAGTTCTGCCAAGCTACCTTTGGTGGAGGCATCCAGTAGGAAAAGTAAATAAAACAGTCATTATGAATGTGTTTGATAGTTAATGCACATAATTATTTGTAGTATCCACAAGCAAAAAGGTTGTCGGCAAAGAGGAAACAGATCATAATCCGAAAGTTGAGCACAAGCCAGTAAAGAGAAAGAAGAGTCGATTTGAACTTGCTTAGTATTTGTAGCTTTTATATATAAATACATGTACAAAACAACAAACTGTTAGTTAAGTTACATATGTATTGTACACACAAACAAACAAACCCTTATTTATAATTATTAAGTACTATAGTCCAGACAATATAAAGTTATTCTTGTTTTATCCCTATTGATAATATTTATTTATTATTATTATTGTTATTATTATCATTGTTGTTGTAGTTCTGCATTCTCAGCAAATATAGAAGTTATGACAAAGTGACAGCAACTGTCTTTATGAGCTTATAAGAATAAAGGATACATTAGCGAACAAAGAGAGATACATTACAGCTACAAGCACACGTTAGCAAATCGTAATAGTCCTTTGTGTCCAGGAACAAGGTAAGAACAGGTAGAAAACCGTAGTAACTGTCAAAAGGACTATTATGGTGTCGTCTTACAAACAAAACAAGTCTAATTCGTAAATGGCAGGAGTGTCTAGTTTTCCAAAAATGTCTCCATTGGCCACAGCTGCTTCTGCTTTCTTTAACCGCTGCCTATTGCAGTCAATGAGTGATTGTGTGAGCTCAGAAGTAGCTTTCTCAAGGCAGTCGACATAGAGAGAGGATAAATGAAACGAGAAACAGATGAGGTGGTGGTGTAGTGGTAAAACGTGTAGTTTAGGGACCCCCTCTTGAACTGGTGAATCATAACTACTGATACTAGCAGCAGCACTAGTGCGGCATTTAGCATTGATGCAGTGATCAAGCACTAGCTGGACTGTTATTGATAATAGCTCACGATCTCTAGCCCAAGTCAGGATTTCTGCAGAAGAATCAAATGAAGACTGATCAGTGTACATGACTATTAGTAGATCGGGTTTTTCTCTAAGCACTTCTGCTTCTCTTCTCTCATTATCGTTAAGTATGGTGACTTGAACTAGGCTGTTGTTGAAAAGGTGAAGGAAGGAGGGACGGTGCAGGCGCAATGCGTTTAGAGATACAGGCAGTCCAAAGAGAGAAGAGAGAGTGAGAGAGACCGTGTTTAGTGATTCACCATCAGTTAGGCTGGTACCCACCAAAAGGATTACAATATTATGAATAATGCAAGACGTGGATACCCTCTCGCTGGGTTGCAATAAACCTTTGCTGACAATACCAGAGCAATTAGGATACTGAAAAAAAGAAAAATTAAAAAGCTAATTTTATTAAAGATTTAGTTTCTTACTTGCTCTGGTTGCATAATCTGTTTCAAGCAAACTTGCATGCAATACTGGACCTCTTTCCTCTCCCTCATCATGTTTATCTGAAGCTGCTCATTCTCCCTCTGCAGCTCTTGATTCCTCCTGTTCAGATCTTTCACGTTCCTCTCCAGCTCATCCCAGCTCTCCCTTGCCTTTGAGAAGGAGTCGGTGAGACCAGAATCAGTCAAGTCATCTCCACTAGGCAGCCTGCTCTGTCTTTGAGAGTAACTGAGCCTCATTTCTCTCAAGCTCCCTGTCAGTTTGTCATTCTCCTCTTCACTGCAAAGAGATGCAGTAATGCTAGCATTTAGTGAAGACGATTGCCACTGGGCATTGGTAGGTTTAGTTTTGCAAGACTTGGGCAGTATCTGCAACAGCTCCAAGTGTCCTAAATGTAAGGACAGGTCGTCAGACTCCACAGATCGCTCCAAGGCTTTGAGAAATAAAGGATAGGAGCCACGTCCCTTGCTCACTAGTGTAGATACCAGTAGCCTGATCTGTGTGTCCCTCTCGCCGCTGTACTTATTCAACTTCTCCAGCTCCGGGAGGGTGAGGAGTCTCTCTGAAACAAGGTAAGGGTATATGGTCGCGAAGTCCAAGTATTTCAATAGCTCGGGGAAGAACTGCTGCAGAGTATCAGAATGCGAGGCTGCCATAAATGCCTTTATCTATCCAAACTTGATCTTCTGTCTGTGTGGCCAGTACTTCTGGTTTTATAACAACTAAACCGGAAATGGTTTAATCATAGATATTAGAACCGGAAACTGTTATTGATAATAGCTCACGATCTCTAATATCTATGGTTTAATATTATCAATGAATAAACGATTGGACCGGATAATATTATGGATAATCATAGAACTAGTAGGGCCACACTGACTTTGTTCAGCTAATTATAAATGCACTATTAGCTGTCATATGAAAGTGGCTATTAATTGTCACTTAAGTGTTTGTTTATAGTAGCTTACCCACAATGAATATAATTATGAGACAATTTTATTATAACTTTTATTAT